TGAATAAATACCACCAAAATAAAGCTTTATCTGTCCCAAACAAATGGTAAAAAATTCATATGGGTACAGTGTTGCATGACCGCACAATTGTCATTCAAAGTGTGATAGCGCTGAAAGCTGAAAAATTAGCCTGGACAGGAAGGGGGTAAAAGTGTCCGGACAGGAAGTGGTTAACTACGGTGATCCTGCCACTGAAGCCTTTGAGAAAAAAAAAAGTAAAGGAGAGGAAAAAAAAAAAAAAAAGGAAGAAGACTAAGAAGAAGCCACCAAGCTATTCAAACCAATGGCATCCACCAAGAAAATCCACCAACATTTAAGGCAATGTTTCTTCAGTCACCCTCTAAAATTATGGACAGTCTCCAGGCACCCCATTCTAAAATGTATAAAAACTATTCTAATAGTTTTACAAAAATACGTCAACATCCACATGCTGGACACCCAATGTTAGAGGCAGGGGTGTATTTAGGTTTCGTGCTGCCCTAGGCAACATAAAAATCCCCCCCCCCCCTTCTTCACAGAGAGACCCTGACAAACACCCCCCTTCCTCACGATAAGAGCCTGACATTGACCCCCCAACTGAGAGAGCCTTCCACTACCACCCGCCCCATGCACACTGGCAACCCCCCCCCCCACACACACACCCCGGCAAGAGAGAAGACCCTCACTTTCACAGCTGCCAGACATCCCCGGGAACAAGAGTCAGGCTCTGCATACATCATCAAGCAGCCCCTCTTAGATCCCATCTGGTCCCCATGCTGCGTGTGTCCTTTCTTTCTACCATCCCTTCTTTTGGGGGGTGGCGCTGCCCCCCCTTAAAAATACTGCTGCCCCCCTAAAAAAAATGCCGCCCTAGGCACATGCTTTGTGGTAAATACGCCCCTGGTTAGAGGGGATTTATTCTGCCAAAGCAAATACACTTTTGCACACTGGTACCGACTAGTATTCCAAGGTTTCTCTTCTCCCTCAGTTTTTCTCCATTGCTCAGCTAATGTGACCCCAGCAGTGACAGAGGGGGGCAGGGGAGGGTCAAACAAGGATGCGGTGACAACCAACATCCTCCGGATAGAAGGTTGTAATGGTGCACAATGAAAACCTGTGGTTTTGTGTAACTAAACGGCAGGCTTGATCTGCTTCTAGATAACCCGTGTGTGCTCTCCAGCGCTCCAGGAAATAAAATGCCAAAAAGGAGGAGACCAAGGGAACCAGGGCAGGAGTGGCCTAAAGACAATGCTTTAGGGATGCAGCCCTCCTCAAACGGGGGAAATCAACCACTGGGAAAAGAGCAGACAGGTGGCTCAAACACCAAGATCATTAGCCAAGATTTATTCAAAAGGAGTAAAAGACAAAAAAAAAAACAAAAAAAAAAAAAAACCATACTCACAGACATAGCATGTATAAAAAGCTTTTGTATAAAAGATGGCTGCAAAAAACGGGCAAGGTGTTCCAACTGTCAGTGTGGTCAAATGGCTGACGAGTTTTGGGGACGAGTCCCTTTCCTCAGAGCTACTCGGAGGAAAGGGACTCGTCCCCGAAACGGCCATCTCCATTATACAAAGCTTTTTATACATGCTATGTCTGGGAGTAGGTTTTTGTCTTTTAATCCTTTGAATAAGTGTTTGACCCACCTGTCTGCTCTTTTTTTTTTTTTTTATCTGCTTCTAGCTCATACACAATATTTGGTAAATTTTTAGGTATTTTGCCAAGGCACCTCTAAAGAGACATCAAGGCACCCTGGATGAAAAAGGTGATTTTAAGACTTCTTTCACATCATATGTGCAGAACTGATGAAAAACAGATTTCACTTGCAGAGACATCAGTACACATCAGTTTTCTTACACGCTTCAATGCGTTTTATACACGTTGAAGATTCCTGCGCAGAACAAAAACTGCACGCAATACTAGTGTGTTGTGAACAGGGCACATAGGGGAGAATAATTGGTTTTCATTTTGCCCTTGCAGAACGTTTTCAGAAAAACTCACTACACTATGGTGTGAACAAGCCCTTTAAGAGTTTTTCTGCAAAGGCACAACGAAAGCAATGGTTCTCCATTTGCCCTGTTCACACTACAAACACTAGTATCATGCAGATTTTTTTTCTGCGTAGGAATCTGCAACATGTATATTAAAAAAAAAAAAAAAAAAAACTCATTGAAGAGTGCATGAAAACCAATGTTAAACTAGTGGTTCTAAATGCTCATGATCTTTTACCTTCATACATTCTATGCATGAAGGTAAAACAAAAAAAAACAAAAAAAAAAAAAAAAACAAAAAAAAAAAAAAACCACACCTTCTGTGTGCAGCACGCGCCACCCCCCCCCCTCCAATCCTTACCTGAGCCCCCTCCAATCCAGCAATGCCTCAACTGTATTGGGACTCTCCCTCGTCATTGACTGAGACAGCAGCGGGTGTTCATTGGCTCCTGCTGCTGTCAATCACAGCCAGTGAGCCAATGAGGGAGAGAGAGGGGGGGTGGGACTGAACCACGGCTATTATTATACAGTATTTATATAGCGCCAAAGGGTTTGCTCAGCGCTGTACAATAGCGGGGGGGACAGAACATGAGACAAGACAGTAACAAAACAATACACGAGGGGATCGAGGGCCCTGCTCTTTCGAGCTTACAATCTAGGAGATGTGAGTCTTATGGTGCAGAGAGCAGTGGCTCGGGAGCAAGCATGTAGCGGTGACCCTGTGGCAAGCAGCTGTCCCTGGGGGCACTGCTTGAGGTAAGCCATAGCACCGGCGGGGGGACCCGAAAAAGAAGAGGATCGGGGCAGCTGTGTGCAAAACTACTGCACAGAGCAGGTAAGTATGACAGGTTTGTTATTTTATTTTAAAAAAATAAAAAAAAAAAAAAAAAAAAAATGAAGCTTTAGTATAACTAAGTGGAGCTAGAACGGCAATTTTCTTTTAGTATAAAACAGACTTGTCACTTACTCCTAGACTTTAGTTCTTTAATAGTAAAGATACAGTATAAGTGCTTTATGTGGGCCTACAAGGTGCTCATAGATGGACTATGGTGGCCCTACTGCTAAACAATCCTGAATACAAATATGCATTCCAAATACGACTTTTTCGATTTGCCCACAAAACGAAAGTTCATATCAACTTGTCTGATATGGAGGATGAGTACAAAAGTGCCAGTCTGCCCAAAGCTGTAAGAAGAGGACTGCTCTTTGTGACCAGCAACAGTCCCACTTGTACATATACATGCAGGTCCAAATGACTTGAAAGGTTACCAATTAATCAGCACTAGCTACTGCTTCCCACCAGAACCTCCAACTGAGTGGTTCCCAACATAGCTCTCATTACACATCCCTGTCTACTATCCCACAAAAACATAAATGGAATAATGCATACAGGAAAAATGTTTGACTCATGTAGACAAAGCATTTCAGATTGCAGACCTTGTTGGCCCTTCTGGAAGGTCTATCAAGTCTTAGTGGTTCAAGTGAACATCTTGGCTTGCAATGCTGCCTCTTGCTCTGGCTAGGCTTTCCAAAACTGGTCAACAAGGTCTTCAGTTTCATACACTTTGTCTACGCCAGTTAACTCTTGTCTCTGTCAGATCCCTCTATGCATCACACCATCTATGTTGAGAGGAACTGTGGGGAATTCTGCGTAATAAGAGCCATGTTGGTAACCATTTAGTGGGTTCTTCAAGGATCTGGTGGAAAGTAGTAGCCAGGGCCGATTTATTTGCCTTGCTGAGATCAGTTGGATGTGAAAAGTATCTGGACAAGCATGACTGCTGCTGGCCATGCAAGAGGAGCATTGTTCTTACACTTCTGGGTCACCTTAGGACTTAAAGTACATGTGAACCCTTAACCTTGTAAAAGAACCCATTCAGGTTAAAATCGAATTAAAAAAAAGACAAAAAAAAAAAAAAAAAAAAAAAAAAACTTTGTACATAGATTAAAAATATATATATATAAAATATATAATAATAATAATAATAATAATAATGCTCCATGCACACTGGGCATTTTAATAATGCTGGTAACAGTTGTGTAAAGTCACACAAAAAAAAATAATTTCTCTCAGCGTTTAGCTGCATTTCATGTTTTTTTTAATCAAAAACATTTTCTTTTTTTTTGCTCAAAAAAGTCCAAAAAATGCCAGTTTTGCTGCGTTTTTCAGCATTCGAGTGTCTTTACAGGTAAAAAAAAAAAAAAAAAACCCTCTAGAAACCCACTAGTTCTGAGGTTTTTCCCCAGCCAAAAAACACCTCTTCCAAAAAAACGCTGATTACAGTCTGTGTGTACATGGACACATAGGATAACATGCTGGGGAGTTTATTGGCTGTAGAAAAAAAAAAAAAAAAAAAAAAAAAAAAACACCAAAAGCAGCAGCTGTAAAAACATCCAGTGTGCATGAAGACTAATAATGTAATGTAAATACCTTTTTTCTTTCTGTTCTCATGCATAAGGGGCTTAGATTGCAGGGTGGTGCCAGCAAGAAAAAGAGCAGTATACTGATCTTCCCAGTGAATATCTTACCATTAGATGACAGACAGGCTGTACTCCCAGCAAAACCAGAAAACTGACTACACTGGGAAAGATGTTCTCATGCCCAGCATGATCAGTTTGAAATAGTAAAAGCGGGAGGACTGGCAGAATCACCATTTCACACATAGGAAGCAATTAAAATAAAAAAAAAAAAATATTTTTTTTTTTGTAACACAAGCACATGGTACAGCAGCCACATGTCAGGAATATGAAATGTTGGGGTAACAAATACTTTAAAATGTATACACATCCCCAACTGCAGATATTCGAACTGGGCCATCGGGCCAGTTACTTGCCCAATTGGAAGGGGTCAGAACTGCCTTAACAGTAAGGTGTTTATTCTGGATGTAGTTTGTTGCATTTGAGAGAAGACTGAAAATCGTATTGCAGAGCATGATCCCTGTATGGTTTAAGTAACACAGGTCTGAGCTGAGAACATTTGGGGGAAAGTGGTTCACCCCTAACACACGTCTGTTGGGTCATAATGTTAACTTACGCCATCTCATAATCTTCCTTCTCTTCTCTATCACGGCAGCAACAGCAGTAAGCGATGATACCGATGACTATGATCCCAGCCAGGCTTCCTCCAATCACACCAGCATAGAGGGCGATGTTCATAGACGCTGTTGAGGAACAAAAAAGAAAAAAAAAAAATGTATACAGTGACTGGGTTTCTGCTTTTGATACACGCATAAATACACAACACAATATTAAAACTAATTACAACACATGCTAAAAATTGCATAAGAAGGTTACCTTCAGTGAATACTACAGATCAGAATGATCAACAGATGTAGACTCCTGAGGTTCTACTAAAATCTTGACTGCTGTAAAAGTCAAACTTTGCCCCGCCCTCTCGAGCCTTCCTATTAGTCAGAGCGGCTGTTCTTGACAGTAAAGGACCAATAGGAAGATTCGTGATGGATGGGGGAAGGACTGCCTCCAATGGAAAAATTGCAACCTCCATAAATATCTTTAGATCATTTTGACATGGGGTTATCACATCTATTTATGAGTTTTTAATTCACATGCTGTATGAATTGCAAATGGGACTGGGAACAGAAAAAAAATACCACGAAAGTGAACAGTCATCAAGAGGAGCAAAGCAGACGAATCAGCAACCAGCTTGTCATCTTTACTCCAGAATTGTTCAAACCAAAAGGGCAAATAAAAGCAAAAACAGGCTTTGTTTAAGGTTTCAGACCATGCAAGCTCTTTAGAGAAGCCATCAAGCCCAACTCATCATCCTGAGTGTTTTTCTGTTTCAATGATGTTTATTAAGATTTTACAACTGATAAAACAGTTGTACAATGTGCAAAAACATAAAGGTGGTAAGAAGGATCTCAAGGCATAAAAATGCCAAAAGCATGCCTAGTATTGCATTCAAAACATAAAGAACTAAAAAGGTACCAGGGGTTAGAAAGATGTAGAGATATGGCAACAAGCCACCCAAAGCAAGAAATAAAGATGCGTGTTACTCAGAAAACTGATCAGAACCAGTACAGCATTGAGCCTCCGGTGGTGGGCAGTGTTCCCAGAAAAGGCCTATGCTGTCCTGAATGGTACAAAGCAGGGGCGGACTGACCATTTGGAAACGCGGGCATTGCCCGAGGGCCCAGGGTCAGTAGGGGGCCCCATGAGATGCCCCTGGTACCTTTTTCATAGGCTTTTTTGATTTTGGGCAAGGACACAGGGGCCCCATGATCCCCTATAGCCCGGGGGCCCCATGAGTTGTCAGTCCGCCCCTGGTACAAAGCGCCCCGTATGGAGGAAACAAAAAGTCTGGACATGCCTTGACATAGCCTCACGTCTTGACAAGCCCTCAGACTGGCCTAAGCAGCAGAAGAAAGAAAGAAGAAGAGAAAAAGACAAAAAGGAGGAAAAAGGACAAATACGAAAGAAAGGAGGGAAAAAAAGGGGGGGGGGGTAAGAAAGTAGTGAGTAGGTGGGGGAAGGGTCAAAACAAGACCGGGAAGGGCACGCATCCCGGAACAGACCCCTATAATGTAATGATGGGCCAGTTAAAGCAACCACAGAGTCATTTGCGCTTCCCCCCCCCCCCAATAGTTGGAGATCCATGGGTTCCAAATCTTACATTTCTTGGTCTTGTTCTACCCATTATCCTGGGTGTTTTTACATTGTTGCATTTGTTCCAGAACAAGATTGATCACAAGTCATCATAGGTGCTTTAAATGAATTCTACAGTGAGCGGCATGCAGCAGGTTAATGTGTTTTCCATATAAAAGAAAGACATTTTCCATTCCACCTGTTCACAGCTAGGAACAAGGCAGGAGCAAACCAAGGCAAAAACAGCACATAAAATACTAAAAAAAAAGTTTTGCCTTTAGTTATACTTTAACTATTCTGTGCCCAGATTTCAGCTTTAAAGAGAATATCTGAGCAAAATTAAAAAAAAAAAAAAAAAAAAAATCATCATTCAGTACATCTCTGCAACATGTGCCCTGCATGAGGAAAGTACTGCCGATAACTGGCAATTGTCAGAGGAAGGATCGGCACAGATCATCAGGGCACTGATGATCAGTGCCCAGCAGTGCAGTGCCACCAACCTGTGCCCATCAGTGCCTGGTAGTGCGACCCACCTGTACTCATCAGTGCCGCCCATCAGTGCCAGTCAGTGCCAAGCAGTCAGGGCCTGCCTATCAATGCCCATCATTGTTGCATATCAGTGCAGCCTCATCAGTGCCACCTATCTATGCCACCTCATCAGTGCCCATCAGTCTCGACTATCAGTGCCACCTCATCAACACACATCAGTGAAGGAGAAAAAAAATTCCCATTTGCAAAATGTAATAGAAACAAAGAAAAACTTTTTTTTTTTTTTTCAAAAAGGTTTGCTTTTTTTTTGTTTATAGCACAAAAAAAAAAAAAAAAAAAAAAAAAAAAAAAAAAAAAAAAAAAAAAAAAAAAAAACACACACACACACACACACACACACACACACACACACACACACACAACACCCAGCGGCGAGAAATGCCACCAAAAGAAAGCTCTATTTGTGTGAAAAAAATTATAAAAATTTCATATGGGTACAGTGTAGCATGACTGCGCAATTGTCATTCAAAGTACAACAATGCTGAAAGCTGAAAATTGGCCTGGGCAGGAAGGGGGTATAAGTGCCCGGTAGGCAAGGGGTTAACACGTGCGATTTGCTGCAGCGAGATTTCTAAAGTAGTTCTTGCATTACTTTTTCTGCATTTTATTGCGATTTCACATACATAGAATAGAATGGAAATCACAATTCAAATCATTGATAATCTTCACGAGTCACAATAAAGTCTTCAGAAATCACACCTGAAATTGCACACAAATCGGTGACTGGTGACTAAGTGACATTTCTGTCTGCTACTTTGTTTCTCCCTCTATTACCATGAATCACTTCTGACCTCTTTTCCTGACACCAAAAAAAGAAAAATAGTGACGGGAGGAACCTCCAGCAGATTGTTCAACTCTCTTCCCTGTGTGAAGGTGAGGGGGGGGGGGGGGGGGTGTCTCTTCCCTCCAAACAGCTCTAAGACTCTGCAGAGCTTGGTGAGGCGAGCTCTAAGTTCAGCTCTCCGCCCCCTGCTTTCTGAACTCTGACAAGCTTTATAAAATTCAGCACTTTGAATGGATGTTAAGAAGGGAAGGTACACAGGTACAACTTATGCAGGAGGATTTGTGTCATCTCTGTGTATATCATCTGAGGCCAGCCACTTCACTGGGTATATGTAAGGGTTTACAACCATTTTAAAAAGTATAACTAAAAGGCAAGACTTTCTTTTTTTTTTAGTTTTGGATAGAGTAGAGTAGAGCGGTATTAGAACATCGGTCAGGTTTTTATTGCTGTCTGTACACCCAATATATTTTTGATTCACCCACTATAGTTATCCTTTTTACAGTTCTCACTAAAAGTGAAAGTAAAAAGAAAATCTCAAATTTTGGGCTGATATCAGAAGCAGAACATGGAAAATCTTCCAATGGGGATACTAGTATTGGTGAGAACCAGGGATTCCCTCGATCTGAAGGGATGTCCTCTCACTTCCTGTTCCTGCTGGCTATGGCACAGGAAGTGAAGGGAAATCTCCCAAAAACGAGACACAGATGATCAAAAAAAAACAAACAAAAAAACAACAAACAACTGGAGCTAAAACCCTCCCTTACTCTATCCCAAAAAAAAAAAAAAAAAAAAGAAGAAAAAAAAATAGTTACACTATTTTTAATCTTTATGCTGCTAGCATTAGTAAATAGATAGGAAGGCATCTTATTTGTTTTAACTTTTTGTTCCCCTTTGGTTGCCTCTTGGTGTCTGGCCCAAGGAAAAATTATAAATGTCATACAGGAGTCTTCATGGTATTCCCCCCTTTCATCTGGAGGAGGGTCAGAGGGCCTCTCTCAGCTAAGTACACCCTCCTGCCTGCATGCCTGTGTTAAGGGTGTTGGGAATACAACAGCATGTACTATACACAGTATTCTGTGTTAATATCACTTGACCAGTAGATGGCACTGTACACTAAGGTTATCAGTTGTGCATTTGTGTAAAGCTTGTTGGTTTCTCTCTCTTATCTATTCCTCTCCTCTCTGCTAAGATGTCTGCCATCACTGCCTGCTGAAATGTGCTCTGTATGTTTGTAACTTAAGCCACACAAGTAAAGTCTGAATTCTGCCTCGTCACTACCAGTGTCTTCTATAACACATAACCAACAAAAGGGCAGATGGATTCCAAGAAGTTAACACTACACGAATCTTCTGCCCTTACTCATGGCCATGGCTAGAAATGCTAGGGAGAGTTTTTCAAAATTATTTACAGAAAAATAATGCATGGAGACATGGATGGATGAGTGAGTGGGTTTGCTTTGAATATTAAAAATTAATTCAGAAGAGTTTTTAGTTTGCGATGCTCAGATACCATTTGAGAGGTCGTTAAATTTACGGCAGATCGACACTTATGTTTCTGCACGTGCATTATTTTAAATAGTCAAAATATACAAAAAAAACCTTTATTGGAGAGATTTAGCTCTTAACAAATATATTCTATTAATATGTGTTTAAGCACACAAGTGTTAGTAGGTCTTAAGAGGTTGGTCTCTTACGTTGCATTACTGATAGTGTCATGTTGCAGGAATCCTGTCCAATTTTATTGGTGGATGTGCAAATAAAGAATCCGGAGGTCTCCGTAGATATGTTCTTAAGGGACAAAACACCTCCTTCTGTAGAGAAACACAAATAAAATATATATTTTTAAAATAAATCTATATATCACACACACACACTTTTTTAAAAAAAACTAATTTAAAACACATACCATTTCAAAAAGGTAGAGACGTTGTGTAAAATCTACGTTAAAAACAGCAAGGATTTGCAAATCTTATATTTTATTCACAATAGAAAACATATGAAATGTGTAAAACTGACAAAATGTACCATTTTAAGAAAAAAAAAAAAAAAGGTAACATTTTGAAATGGATGGCAGCAATACTCCTCAATAAAGTTGGGACAGGGTAACAAAAATTGGAAAAGTAAGGTGGTACTGACGAAGAAAAGCTGGAGAAGAACATTTTTTTCAGCTAATTAGGTTTATTGGCAACAGGCCAGTAACATGACTGGGTAGAAGAGGGACATCTTAGAGAGCCAGAGAGGTTAACCAATCTATGAAAAGCTTTGTCGGAAAAATTTAACAATTGCAGAATAATTTCCCCGCCAAAAAATTGCAAAGACTTTAAATATATCATCTACAGTACATATCAACCAAAAGATTCTGAAAATCTGGAGAAATCTGTAGGCAGGTGCAGTCTGCTTTCTCCACTGTAGGTGGCGCTCAATCTGAGCAGCACTGCAGCTGGAGAGAAAGTCGAGAATCCTGGTCTCTCTATGGTTACCTGGTCCCCTGAGGTGGTGCTCCAGTTGGCTACGTTGCATTCAAGTGTCCCCTGGTGGTTCTCTTGGGTCAACAGAGCCTATTTAAGTGCCTGCCCCCAGGTATGGCATGCATTTGCAAAGTGGATGGTGTAGGGAAAGAGATCCAGTTTGTCAGGGAAATTGTCAGGGAGAAGTTCCAGGTGAGTAGGGATACGCCATCCATCGCAAGCCTCCCCATTGGGACTGGACCGACCAGGTTGCATTTCACCCTCTGAGACAGACACTGTCGGCACATCTGAACCTAATGTATTCTCAAGCTGAACAGAACTGTGAGGGTTTCCTGGCGTGGCGCTCTCCCACTGGGCTGTCTGAAGTTGAGCCTCTCTTTCTATACAAGTTTGTGTTATCTGCAACCTGACTGTTATTACTGCCACCACACCACACTGCACCTACCCACAAATCTCTGTGTGCAAGGGACAAGGCCAAAATCCAATACCGAATGCAAAAATCTTTGGGCCCTCAGACATCACTGCATTAAAAACATCAAAACCAAAAATAGTGAAGCGCTAAAATGAATCCCTAAATACACACATAGTGCATATAATATTAAGTGAAAACCATACCTCATAAATAAATTATATCCGTGACATAAAAAAATATCAATATAAAACAAAATATATAAGGAAAAACTTTTCCTTGCCCTTAAATTAATTCTTCAAATCAAACATTAATAAAAAATAAAAAATCCATAATATTGCGAATAAACAGTGATGAAAAAAAAATATATATATAAAAAACTGTGTTAATTAACATATATATATATTTGTGATTATTTCTAATAATAAATGTGACAACCTAACAGAATAAAAAATATAAAAAAATGTGAATCTCAATCAAATGTACGTGATTATTGTGAAAAAACCATATATTAAACTATTACATAAAAAAATCACTAAAACTTGTGATATTTCAAATATGAAAAAGTGTCCATAAATGAACAAACACAGTCCATGCAGTAAGGTGAAAACGACACTCAGTGTTCTTCACTTCTAGTGCTCATAAAAAGAAAGGGAAGAAATCCTCCAATGGCAGCAATGCCTGCTCACCTCCCCAACTCGACCCGCAAAGGGCCACAAGGCTATAACTCTCCTCCAGAAAATCGTTTGCTTCCAAGCAGCTCAGTAAGGAATCACAGGACCTCCTCTCCACCTCCTCTCAAACGTCATATAGGACACAAACAGAGCTTCCCATAGTGTAATACCATTTGTTTATTTAAGACACTCCATATAACAAACTGTTTCCACTCACATGCGTTTGGTTAATAAAATGCAGTCCTCCTCATTCCCTGTAATAAATATGGGGGCAATAAAATCGGTGTAGTTTGGTGTTAGGTCAGAATGCTCCACCTGGGACATTATCCACACAAAGTCCTTAGTCAGCACCACTTCCTCATCCAAGGGGAGAAAATGACCTATGCGTTACATCACCAAATCTCATGACTTCCTCTGGGTACCCAGAGGAAGTCATGAGATTTGGTGATGTAACGCATAGGTCATTTTCTCCCCTTGGGATGAGGAAGTGGTGCTGACTAAGGACTTTGTGTGGATAATGTCCCAGGTGGAGCATTCTGACCTAACACCAAACTACACCGATTTTATTGCCCCCATATTTATTTACAGGGAATGAGGAGGACTGCATTTTATTAACCAAACGCATGTGAGTGGAAACAGTTTGTTATATGGAGTGTCTTAAATAAACAAATGGTATTACACTATGGGAAGCTCTGTTTGTGTCCTATATGACGTTTGAGAGGAGGTGGAGAGGAGGTCCTGTGATTCCTTACTGAGCTGCTTGGAAGCAAACGATTTTCTGGAGGAGAGTTATAGCCTTGTGGCCCTTTGCGGGTCGAGTTGGGGAGGTGAGCAGGCATTGCTGCCATTGGAGGATTTCTTCCCTTTCTTTTTTATGAGCACTAGAAGTGAAGAACACTGAGTGTCGTTTTCACCTTACTGCATGGACTGTGTTTGTTCATTTATGGACACTTTTTCATATTTGAAATATCACAAGTTTTAGTGATTTTTTTTATGTAATAGTTTAATATATGGTTTTTTCACAATAATCACGTACATTTGATTGAGATTCACATTTTTTTATATTTTTTATTCTGTTAGGTTGTCACATTTATTATTAGAAATAATCACAAATATATATATATATGTTAATTAACACAGTTTTTTTATATATATATTTTTTTTCATCACTGTTTATTCGCAATATTATGGATTTTTTATTTTTTATTAATGTTTGATTTGAAGAATTAATTTAAGGGCAAGGAAAAGTTTTTCCTTATATATTTTGTTTTATATTGATATTTTTTTATGTCACGGATATAATTTATTTATGAGGTATGGTTTTCACTTAATATTATATGCACTATGTGTGTATTTAGGGATTCATTTTAGCGCTTCACTATTTTTGGTTTTGATACTTTAATACTTATTGGTTAAGGCAGAGTGTTAGCAGCTGTTAGGATAGGGACTTACCCATACTAAGCGCAGGAGGATATTTCCATTTACTGCATTAAAAACGGCATGATTCTGTGATTGACATGCACTGTCTGTGAACACAGTTCCCCAAGGCATCCAAAAATTGAAAGGTAAAAGCTCTAAAATTGCAATTGAGCCATAGTTTTAACCCCCCCCCCTTTTGCCTGCAGGGGCCACAATGCTGTAATTCTAAAGTAGTGTGTGTAGGTAGAACCTCCAGAGAACGGTCATTTTTTTTTTCGCCCTCTGTGGCAAGAGAAGCACAACACCTTGACACTTACCTATGGTTGCAGTTGCTGGCAAGGTTCGCAGGGTGTTCTGTGGGGAGAAGATCTGCCAGGTATACTGGGGTACAGGAGACCCCTCTTTGGAAGCACAGGTCAGTTGGATGGCCTGCCCAATCTCTGCAGTACCAACAATGGCACAATCCGGTTTTGATGGGAGCACTGTTAATGGGAAACAAAAAAGGAGTTGGACTTGTAAAATGGTTGATCGGCAGGAAATAGATGCAGATAGAAGCGTACATTTGATCCTAGAAGGGTAGTATGAATAGTTACACACAAACATTTATGGGTCTATTTATATAAAAGTTTGCTGTTTCTAGATGTGTATTCTATTGTAAAGCGCTGAGCAAACTATTGGCACTATATAAATCCTGAATAATAATAATAATAAATAATAAATTTTCTTTGATCGCCAACTCCATCTAGTAGCCACAAGTCATTATTTTCTTGAAATACTGGAATCAGGAAAATACTGCATTAAGGCCACTAGATGGAGCTAGTGAACATAAGGAATGGACATATATTAACCACTTCCCATCCAGCCCATGTACAATAACGGCCGGACAGGAGCAGTGCAGGAGCGGATAGCGGTTCATAAACAGCGCCCACATTTTCAGGCTGTGTGTGCTCCCTGGGAGCGCGCGGCACTGCGATCCAGTGCCCAGAGGACCAACGATCGCTGTACGGGACCTCTGTGTGAGGTCCCGATCATGTGATCACTGATTGGCCAATCATTGATCACATGAATAGTAGTAAGCAAGATGTCACTTCTGACATCATCGCTTACTACATGTGAAATCTGTGAATGATCACACAGATCACATGGTACAGGGCTATTCAGAACAGCCTTGTACCATGTGACAAGCTGTGACCAATCACAGCTCTCACTGTATTTCTCAATGGCTGCAAGATTGCAGCCAGAGAAAAGCAGAAATTATTGCTTTTACATCCTTTATAGGTGTAAAAGCAATCAATGTAAAAAAAAAAAAAATTAAAATATATATATTTATTTCACCCCCCCCCCACACAAGTAGTACAGTGTCACTATGGTGACACTGTACTGCTAGGGTGAAAGTATGTTAAAATATAAAAAAGTAAAAAATGTAAAAAAAGGTTTTTAAAAATTATAATTTTTGGTTATAAACTAAAATTTTTTTTTTTTTAACTAACTAAAAAGATAACCGGATAAATTTTGGCCAAGATTTATGAAGATTATTTGCAACATTTTATAAGAAAAACACTTTTTTTTTTCAAAATTTTTTGGACATTTTCATTTATATAGCAAAAAAAATTAAAAATCCCAGTGGTGAATAAATAGCACCAAAATAAAGTTTTTTTCTGTCTCAAAAAAATTCAAATGGGTACAGTGTTGCATGACCGCGCAATTGTCATTCAAAGTGTGATAGCGCTGAAAGCTGAAAATTGGCCTGGGCAGGAAGGGGGTGAAAGTGTCCGGACTGGAAGTGGTTAAACACATTACCAGGATTATTCAGGACAGCTGTATAAATGCTGAAAAGACAAAATCACACTCCGTGCTTTTGGACCAAGGCAGCTACACACTATAAGAGGATACGGTTTGTTCGTTTTTTTCCATTTCTGAGGTTTACAACCACTTTAACATTTCCCTGTCCAATGAATGTGATGGTTATAGAACAGTATAAAACTTGCCTAACACTAGGAGATCCATTTTTGCCTGGCGGGTCCCGGAGCGATCATTGGGAAGATTTATCTCGCAGCGGTAGGTGCCGTTATCTTCCATGGTAAGTTTGTTGATGACGATAGTGGCATCGTCCTTGTAGACAT